AATATGACATCAAAAATTTTCAAAAGTTTACATTCGAAAAAGTCATATCCCATGTAAATTTTCAGATGTAAAATTAGTGTGATATAATTTTTTTGGACGTTAATTTTGGATTGTAAAATTTCTCTAAACTTCTTTCAAGTTCAATTGTACCCTTCTTAACTTTTAAGGTCTGCGTCCACCCCTGTACATAAAGTTCATGATCAAATTAATGACCACAATAGAGAACCTATTTTGATTTTGGATATGTTGAATCTGAAGTCTGGACTTGTCATAACCGTAACACTTCAAAATGTTTTGTTCACAGTTCAAAATGAAAATTATCTGTCACTATGCGTTATCTTTTGGATGATACTTATTTTTTTGTTTTCCTTGTCCATAGTTGATTTCTTCCATACATGTAGAGATAGTTGATTCTAAATGAAATTAAATTTGGGTTAAGTTGTTTAATAACTACTCCCCCCGTCTCAATTATATAGACTGAATTTCCATTTTCTCTTGTCCCAAATATAAAGACATTTTTCTTAATGTAGAATATTTTGTTGTGTTTCTTTACTAATATACCCTTATTAAATTTTCCTCATTTAATATGCCAACTTTTTGAAATCATCCAAATACACACATTTCCCACTTTTTGGAAACATGGAACAACTCTCATTTCTTCTTCTTCTTCTTCAAATTCTTTATTAGTTCCAACAATAATTTAGTTTTACATACTAAAAATTCAATAGGGGTAAATTAGGAAAGATTTTGGCAAGAATTAATTTTCCAATAATATTAAAGAAGTTTGCTTAATCCGTGNAATATGCAAACTTTTTGAAAATTCAAATTCTTTATTAATTCCAACAATAATTTAGTATTACACACTGAAAATTAAATAGGGATAAATTAGGAAAGATTTTGACAAAAATTAATTTTTCAATGACATTAAAGAAGTTTTTTTAAACCGTATGAAAAACGAAACAAGCATATATAATTGGGATGGAGGGAGTATTTTAATAGTCAGCTTTGAGGAACATTTTAGGTGAGTTCTATGTCTAATTTATAGTAATAATTAGGTTGTAACTAAACCTTGTCATGAGGTTATTAATATGACCTATTAAGTTGACCAAGCATAAATTTTTGCGCATTGAAGTAAATCTCCATAATGTGGAAGTTGAGAAGCATTAAATAAGCTTTAATGTGGAAGTTTCCCCACATTGAAAAATGGAGGAAAGTTGAACAGCTTATAGAGTGGAAAATCTTTTAAATTATAATTTAATACAACTAGTGTAGCTGCACTCATGGCTAGCCAAGCTAGCTTTGGCTAGCCACATGAGACTCAAATAATGGAGCTTTCGCTAGCCACATGAGACTCAAATAATGGAGCTTTGGCTAGCCACATGATAATGGAGCTTTGGCTAGCCACATGGGACTCAAATAATGGTAGCTAACCTAACTCAAGTCTTTGTCCGTTCACATCACAAAGAATGCTCAAGAGGTACATGTATGCAACTACATGAGGAATAGGGAGTTCTAAAGTTTTTTGAAATTGAATAGTGGTTCGATGGTATGGTAATTGGCTAGTACAGTATGGCAATGACGTAGAAATTTGTTCTACGTATTGACAAGTATCTGCAGGGTAATAAGAAGGATATGATATGACACAATTATTCATTAATCATTTTCATTTTTCGATTTTGTAGTATTGGAACTAAAAATCGAATGAAAGCATTTATATAAATTTTAATACGTTATTAATTCATTGTATTTAATTTCTTATTTATTTCAATTTAGATTTTGAAGAAAATGAAGATAACAAAAAAAACAAAGAAAATAATATTTTAAAGAAAAAATATTAAATTAAAAACCATTGCTTCTAATAATTTAAACGTTGAAAATGATAAATTAGTTAAATGGTATGTACATTCTTCATTAATGTAAAATATAGAGTGTGATTTGTAAATTTTAGTAATAGATATCCTTTTCCGTTCAACCATTTAAGATAGTATAAGCGTAAAATTTTCTATCTTTTCCAGCAAAATAGGTATTTTTTGTTATCATTTGATAAAGAGAAGGTGTCAAATGTAAATTTTGGAAGAACGATTAGTAAAGTGCAAATAAAGCCTATGTGTGTGGAGTATTTTGTAAATTTCTCTAATAGAATAGAGTAATGGTATTTAACATCAGTGGTGTTACAATACTGGTTTAAGTGACACTAAGCCTATATTTCGCCCACATTTTTTCAAAAACTCTTTTTCAGCTACATACTCTCCTATAAAATAATATTACACGTAAATAGAAAATTTTTTCTTATTTTTTAAATTCACATTCTTCAAAAAAATTAGTATTCCAAAATTCATTTTCCCCCAAATTTTCATTAAAATGGAGCCCAAACAAGGGCTAAGTGTCATTTAATGAAAAATAATGTCATTTAGGTTGGTGTTAGAGTATTGGTCTAGCGATATTATGTGACAGGTTCTATTAAATGTGAAATTATGTGATTCATTGTACCTTTTATTTAATAACACTTAGAATTGCTCTTAAATAAAAGATACAGTTAGATGAATCACGTAATTTCGCATTTAATTGAACCTATCCCGTAATGAAGAAAAGTCACCAACATATAACCAATTATAAATGGAACTGTCAAGTGTTCTTTACACTGCCAAAAGCTTTCGAAGAAGCAACCATGAAGCCTCACGCAGTAGTGATTCCATACCCTGCACAAGGCCACATAGCCCCAGTCCTAAAACTAGCCAAACTTCTGCATCATAAGGGATTCTTCATCACTTTTGTCAACACAGAATTCAATCACGACCGCCTCGTCCGAGCTCGCGGCGTCGATGCCGTGGAAGGCATCGAGGATTTCCAGTTCAGGACCATCCCGGACGGCCTGCCGCCGCCGTCGAACAGTGATGCAACCCAAGATATTCCTGCACTTTCTGAGTCAATTACAAAGAATTGTTTGGGCCCATTTTTGGAACTTATCCAGAATCTCAATGATTCATCTGAATGTCCAAAAGTTAGTTGTATTGTTTCTGATGGAGTCATGAGTTTTACATTAGACGCTGCTGAAAAACTCGGAATTCCCGAGGTTGTGTTTTTCACTACAAGTGCTTGTGGATTCATGGGGTACCTTTACTATGGTGAACTTGTGGCTAGAGGATATGTCCCTTTTAAAGGTAAAAATGTTTACTTGTTTCCATGGCCACGTGTTTTAAGGATTAATTCTGAGTTGTTCGAAGCCTTGAGAGTACGAAGTCGAAAAACTTTGGAGTTGACGGTGGAAAATTCTTTGTGACACGGAGATGGCAAAATGCCTCGATCCTACTCCACCGTGTTGCTCCGTTTTGAATGGACGGCGATTTGAAATATGTTCCTATCTACTCTGGCTTTTTCATTATTTAATTCTTATATTTTGAAATTCAAATAGAAAATAAAAAAATAAAAATTAAATAAATAGTAAAATGGGTGATGAGGCTATTTTAATCCATATCCCGCTTTCCGAAAAATATTTAGCAGGGCGTGGAGGCGACCTAACTTGCTTTATTGCCATCCCTACTTTATAAGAGATATTTGGAATTTTTTCATATTCGAAGGCTTTGAATAATTCAAAGTCCTGATGGAGTTTCTTGAAGTGTCTAAATTGGAGTCCATCGTCAATATCCTATCCCACTTTGTGATTGATTATCATATGAAAAGGTTTGGACTTTGAGATTTCTAAGTTTCACCTAGTGTAATACTTTGGTGGGGAACTCTAGTCGATTACGTGTAGATTTGTACACTTAAAAATCTAGTCCGTGCCATTTTCTTTTCAGATCTACATACTAAACATGTTTGTGTTTGTTTGACAAGGTGGACTATTTAGTACTTATTCTCTCCAATGTATTATATGATTTATATCAAATACTAAACTTTTGATTTTGGTAAATACAGATGAAAGCTTCTTCACAAATGGTTATTTGGACACTGAGATTGATTGGATTCCAGGGATGAAAGGAATCCGGCTAAGAGACTTTCCCTCATTCATTCGAACAACAGATTCCAATGATATCATGTTAAACTACAACATCGTTCAACATAAAAATGCATCCAGGGCCAAGGCCATAATTCTCAATACATATGATGAATTGGAAGTGGAAGTCCTCGAGGCAATTCGAGCCAAATTCAATCTTGTTTACACCATTGGTCCAATCCAACTGCTCGAAAAAGAAATTTACGAGCAACAATTGAAATCCATTGGATCCAATCTGTGGAAGGAAGATATGGGTTGTTTAGATTGGCTTGATCAGAGGGAAAATGATTCAGTGCTTTACATTAATTTTGGTAGTATAACTCCTCTATCTGCTGATCAAATGGTGGAGTTTGCTTGGGGAGTTGCTAATAGCAATCAGTATTTCTTGTGGATAATCAGGCCTGATATGATGAGCAGCAAAGGAACAATTTTGCCAGAAGGGTTCTTGGAGACGACTAAAGGGAGAGGGATTATAGTGGAGTGGTGTTCACAGGAACAAGTTTTAGCCCACAATGCTATCGGTGGATTCTTGACACATTGTGGATGGAATTCAACCATCGAGACGATATCGGAAGGCGTCCCAATGATATGTTGGCCGTTTTTTGCTGAACAGCAAACAAATTGTCGATATGCGTGCGCAAAATGGGATATCGGGATTGAGATTGAAGGTGATGTTACAAGAGAGAAAGTTGAGGAATTGGTTAGGGTTATGATGGAGGGGGAAAAGGGGAAGGAAATGAGGAAAAAGGCATTGGATTGGAAAAACAAGGCTCAATTGGCTGCTAAGCCTAATAGCTCTTCTTACAACAACTTGGAAAAGTTAATCACTGATACTCTACTAAAAAATTAATAACATTCAAGATTCCATAAAGGGTTGTTTCAGTCTTGCTCTTGGAATTCTTTTTCTTTTAATGTTGAAATAAAATCCCATTCCTTTCAATATTGATGAGATATGTGGTTGAAAAATTTGATAAAAGTTGTGGCTTGAAATTCTAGTTGAAAATGAGTTTAGAGAAAAAATTTGAGTTTTAAAAAATGGGGGCCAAACGGGCTTATTTTCTCTTTGCTTTTGGAGAAATTGAAGTTGCAATTAAATGAAAGAGGCTCAACACATAATTACTTGATAAATATTAAAGATTCACTCAATTCCATAAAGAAATGCTCGATTCCATTTTCACACTGATTAAGAAAATATAATTAATATAGTTGCAACAATAAATTTTACTTTCATTTTTTCTAATATACTCCTACATTGAAAAGTAATGTTATTGATCTCCAGTGAGGTTAACGCCACCTAGACTGTGTTTGTAACCTCAGTGGGGATGAATAACATTACTCTACATTGAATAACAATTTAAATTGGAGTAGTTCATATTTGTTGATAACAATGCACATTAAATAAGAGTATTTTAGAAAATTAAAAAATATTTAATTATATTTTCAACAAGAAAAATGGTCTATAATTTGGAGTAAACGAGAATAGAAAGCAATCTTATCTTTATGAGATGGAATGACTAACTCGTAGGGAAAGGGATGAAAGATTTAGTGTGTGCATGTAAATGTACAGACGCGAAAAGGGTTTAAGGTGTTGAATTGAGACTCATAAGTGGCCACAATGCATTAAAGGATGGGAGGCAAAAGTCAAGCAATTGTAGGCACCAAATGCATTAATAGTTCTTAGCCTCAATTGGAAGACTTAATTATGAGTTTCGCTACCTTGCCAGAAGCTGTTGTCATAAGGAGTTACAGAAGCACAGGTGGAGGCAGTCGCAGAACCAGGATTTTGAGTCAGCACAAGTGATCGTGGATCGTCGACTTTTGTCAGCAATATTAAGAACCCCACTTGATGCCCATTTTTTGCAAAAAAAAAAATTGCAATTTTGGAATGTTTATTTGATAAAAAAAAATGTGGTTAAAAATAAGAATTTTTTTTGAATTTACATGTAATATTATATTATTGAAAAATATGCGGTTGAAAGAAGATAGAAAAATATATTTTGAAAAAAAGAAAAGAATCGACCAAGATCTAAAATTTAAATATAACA